TTCTATAGACAACTCAAACGAATTCAAAAGTTAAATAAGAGGAGGATAATCCGCAACCTCTAAAAATAAATTCTACAAAGAAAAATAATCCACTCTCTTTAAAGAAAAGATCAATGTTAGAAAACAAGATTTTTTTGTTTAAAGGTGGATAATCCACAACCTTCAAAATACAATAATAGAAGTGGGGTAATTTACTCACTTCTAGAATAAGAGAGAAACAATATATTAGCACTCTTGTCAAACTATCAAGGACATGAACTCCACAAAAAGATAATCTCAATACACTCTTGTGTCACTCAAAAATACTTAGAAATCACTCAAAGGTGATAATATATTGAACTAGAATGGCTATTGCCAAAGACTAGAAAATATGACGACTCTTGAAATTAGACTTGAAATAAGAAAAGAGTTGAGAAGAGTGAAGAAGGCTTCACTCTTGTCTCTATATATACTATCTAACTAGGGGCTACATGGTGATATTCTATAGGACCTCCAATATATGTTGACTTTGTAGGATACTTGCCTTGACTTACAAGGTAAGTTTTTCTACGTGTGGGCCACATAATTAGCTTGGTCTTCAAGCTAACAATATGTGTGGTACATGGTCAACTTGTTGACCACATTTCTAATCTAAAAAGTCAATTAAAGACACCTATGAAGTCAAAGCAGTGTCTATAAAGCTTCTAAGAAGCTTCCATATCAAATACTATAGAATTAATTTATTTTTATCTATTTTTATTTACTTCTACTTATTTATATATGTAATTATTAGCTTACATGAGTATGTCCGTGACAGTGGGATCGATCATCTAGGAATATTTTAGAAAGTTTAGATTGATAGAACAAAGTATAAATAGGATTGGTCAAAGTCTTTTGAGATATTTAATCAGATATGGCTTTGGATCCTTTATCTTAATAAAATTTAGTTTTGTATCTTCTTGTTTTATTTTTTCTATTCTAATTCTAGTTGCTCAATTTTGTCTTTTGTGTCCTATTCTATTTAAGTTCTGTTTTGTTTTATTTTGGTCTATTTTGGATCCTATTTTGTGATGAATTTTTATGTTACTATGGATTAAAACGATTTTGGATACTTAAAATAGACTGATTTTATTTCATTGGTATCAGAGCGAATATTAGACTGTTCTTTGATAGTGTATCAATAATCATCATTTAGTTCAAAGTCAGTTATTGTGGTTATACTGGATACTATATTGAAGCTATCATGAGTTATTCTTAAAAAGTCAACTGAGAAGTGAGAAGATATTATAATAGTAGAGTCCAATGAAAAAATTATAGTATAAGAGATATGACAGAGCAATCTCAAATATAAGCTCAAATAAAGCACTTTTTAGGCTAGATAGCTACTTTGGAAGGACAAATAGAAGCCTTAAAGAAAAAAAAGTCAACATTTTGATCATGCTTATATTTTGAGTAAAGCAGACCTTGAAAGATATGCTAAGGGCATTCATCGTAGTTCATCATAATGATTGGGATAAATATTTGATGCCCTTTGAATTTGCTTACAAGGATAGTATTCAAGCAAATACCAATCATTTACCATTTTTTTTTAATATTGGTCAGCATCCAATTATGCTAACAACTCTCTATCATTCCATTAATACCAACAACTCGACAATAGAGGAATTTATACAATAGCTTACAACAATCTTACAAGAGGCACTATATCACCTCTTTACTACACAAAATTGACAAAAGAAGTATGTAGATAACTTTTGATAATACAAGACCTCCCAAGAAGGTGATTAGGTGTTATTTTCCAATGCTAATTTGCTACTTGCTACACCAATCCAAATCCATAAATTGGCACCTTGATGGCTTGGATCTATTTATATTTTTGTAGTAATTTCTAATGTCATGTACCGCCTTGAGCTTCCACTACATATTCAAGTCCATCCAGTCTTCTATATTTTACAATTGAAGGAATTTCATACCAAGCCAAAGTTCTTTTTAGATCGAGACCAACCACCACCACCATTGGTTGTAGTTGAGGACCAATAAGAATATGAAGTAGATGAGCATCGCTAGTTTTGATGTGGTAGTAGATGACTACAACTTCAATACAAAGTTCTTTGGAAAGGTTATGCCATCCATGATATAACATGAGAACTTGCACATAACCTCATCTATTGCAAAGAAAAAAATTGAAGATATTATCAAGAACAAAATGAAGACATTTTGCATTACTACATGGGGATTAACTGTAATAGGATATAGATAAGATAATTGTATTGTTGACATATAGGAATAGATAGTTGAAACCATATTTGAGAAGTTATAAAAGTTTTTAGAATTAGAGCTAAGTTAGTGGACTATATAGGATCCATCATAGAACCTTCTAGAAATGGCTTAGGGCGATTATTTAGATGGAGCCTAATATAGAACCTTCTAGATGAAATTTAAGGTAGTTATTTAAGTAGGATCGATCACCTAAAAATATTTTAAAAAGTCCAAGGTAGTATAAGTATAAATAGGACTAGCTAGAGTCTTTTAGGGCATTTGGTCAAGTATGGCTTTGGACCTTTTTTTCTTAATAAAATTTGATTTTATATCTTTCTATTTTCTTTTGTTTTATTCTAATTTTGGTTGCTTAATTTTATCTTTTGTATTCCATTCTATTTAAATTCTATTTAGTTTTATTCTATTCTATTTTGGATCCTACTTTATGATGAGATTTTATGTTACTATGGATTAGAAGGATTTTGGATACTTGAAATAGATCAATCTTGTTTCAAGGGAGATTAAAGTCATAAATATACATATTTATCATAATAAATTATATAAATAATTTAAATAAATAAAACTAGATAAAAATAAATAAACTTGATAACATCTTTTAGAAAAGCTTTTTAGAAGCTTTATAGATGTAGTGTTTCTTTTATGTATGTCTATAGATGATTGATAGGTTGAAAACTCTGCCAACAAGTAGGCCACATGTTACATATTTTAGCCACTTGTAATACAAGTTGGACAAGTGGTGTATATATAAGAAGCTTGTCATGTAAATTAGATATATGTTTTATTTATTGAATAGGTGTTGGAGGCCGTATAGAACGTGGCCACATAGCTTATTGTTAGATATTATATATAGATGTAATATCTAACAAAATTAGATATTAGCCATTTTTACTCTTGTAAATTCTTTTTTTTTGCTTTTAATCTAGTTTTAAGAGTCTCAAGTTTTATTATATTTTATTAATAGCCATTTTAATTTTTTGTTTATATATATTATCTTTATTTGAAAAATAATTCACTTGTTTATTTATATTTTTTTAATTCTTGTCCTTGACGATAATATATTAGATATATTTTTAAAGTCATTATTATTATTATTATTATTATTATTATTATCAATATTATATTTTAATGTTATATTTGAAATAAAAATAATTCTAATATTTTTTTTAATCTAGTCTCAATCATGTCTTCCTTGTCCATTGTATACATTTATAATGTTTGATTTGATGTTTTTCTTGGATAATCATTTTACAATAGAGTATATCAATAACTCTATCAAATTTTTTATAATAACATCTATCATCATTATCATTTATGAGTTAGTTTTATTTTTTTATGTTTATTTTTTTTAGCAATGTATATAATAAATTGAACATTAAAATTTGGATATAATTTTCAATGGTTTTGTAAATCAATGCTTATAAGCGAAAAACCTAAAATTTGTATATAACACGTACAAATTAACTAACACTCTTCTTTTCATGTCATTTTGTGTTTGTAAATTACTTATTATTTCATGTTTAATTCATAATAATTTTATCTTAATTTTCATGTCACTTTGTATTAGTAAATTACTTATTATTTTATGTTTAATTCATAATAATTTTATCTTCATTTGATTTTATGGTAAGTAACACCAGATTCAAAGTATTAACACATAATTTAAATCCTAAATATCTATAGAACTCAATTCAAGTTTGATTGACAAAAACTTATACAATACGTTAGCACAATTCAATTAGTGAAAACCTAGGATACTATGTTATGATAACAATTAAAGTAAAGTTATGATTGTTTGGGTAATTAGAATCTTCTGTATATATCCAAAACAATCTTTTTATTGAACTTATGATATTATTTGTCTCAATAAAATACTGATATGTATGAAATTTATAAAAGATTAACTTTTAGACTTTTTCATCGACAAGCAATTGCACGTTAAAATAAAAATTTACTTCATCTTTATATGTGTGTCAGTAATGGCATATATTTTTGTTTTTTTTTTTTTTTAATGAAATCTTGCTTTTTCTTTTAAAAAAGTATAAAAATCGAAAGTGTTATTGCAACAAGCCAGAAACCACAACAATCAATTGCCCTTGGCAAGGAAATAGGAAGAATTCACAATATTTATATGTGTAAAAATATTACAAGATTCACATGCAGGCCCACAAAATGAGACTTTGCAAGAGTAGGTCTGCACAATAATGCAAACCATTTGATGTAAGCATACCCAATTCCTTTGACAGGACCCACTCAAGAGAAAGAAAGAAAGAAAGAAAAAAAACAAAACAAAACAAAAAAACAAACAAATAAAATTCTATTAATATAATAAAATCCATAATTATGTGAGGGTAATGGTAATGACATCACAATAGTTGACCACGGAAACACACACACACATAAAAACAAGAGAACAAGAGGAAGGAGAAAGGTCCACCAAAGCCCGCGAATGAAACAATCCACACGGTGGTTGAAGTCAAGGGGGGGGGGGGACGGTCAAGGGGTGAAAGGTGGACTCCCGTGTGAACGGGATCCGCGCCGGCTCGTGCGTCAGCAACAGAGACCGCGGACACTGGTTTAAGGAACGTGCGAGCCTGTGTCCGCGGCTTGTCGGTAATGCAGACGAAGTCAAGTTCCGTCACACGGGTTGCGTCGTCGTCGTCGCGTTGGTTGACGAGCGTGTGGGGGAACTCGTCGTCGTCGTAGTCTCTTTCCCGATTTGCGTGATCAATGGCCTTTAATTCTATCAAGGCCCGTTTATACGTCGCGGCCTCCTCCTCCTCTTGCTCCTGCTGCTCCTCCTTCTCCTCCTCGCTTGCGCTGCAGGCCGGCTACAAGGCGCGTGCGCGTTGCTGCTGATGCCTCAGTGTCTTAGGGTGGGTGAGCTCGCTCAGTAGCTCTTGTTCTATTTTTTCTCTATTTATTCCTGTTTCTCTCTCTCCCTTTGACCCACTGCTCCCCTCTTTCTCTTGTCTTTTTGCCTTTCAAATCCTTCTTCCTACTGCTTGAATCTGAGCTTCTCCAGGAAAACGGTAGGCGGAGGGGAGGAAGGAATTTCAGTTCCAGGCGCATTCCGGTGAGTTTTCCGGTCTCTCGCACGGCGTTGCTGACCAGTTCATGCGCTATGACGGTGATGGTGATGGTAGGGAGTTTTATGCGTGACTAGCGTTTCGTTTGAGCGTCTGCATTTTGAAGAATTTTGGTGCGTGACCGGGATTTGATTTGTGGGTCTCGAACCTGGCGAGAGATTGTGCACCGAGTGAGGAGTGAGTTGATTGCGGTGATCTTCAGCCAAGAGGTGGTCGTACTTTACGTTGGAATGGAGACGTGGTCCTAGCCTGTAGTAACTGGGTGAAATTGCCGATGATTTCGATGCACCCGGATCTCATGCTGGCTAGCTGAGTGTGTTCAGACCAGGATCGGTAGAGTCCAATTATTGGTTAAGGATTATGGATTAAATATTCAGATGAAGGGATTGAACGTGAACAGAATTTCGTGCGATTCCATTACTAGTATTATACTATTATACTGTGCCGCAGTACTATATTGCTATAATTGATCTGCCGCATCGTTTGACACTATCGTCATTGCAGTAGAATTGGATGAGTTGGAGGAGCGATCGTTGTTGGTTAGATAGAAGAACCGGTATTAGACCAGTAACAGCGGTACCCTCCGAAATCAGTTAATAGATTTTTATGCAAGGATCATCTTTTTACATGTGTCTTCTCGAAATTCATGATCAAATTTCCTGATAGTGACTGCAGCTACAGTTTCCTGTAAGGTTCTGATTTTTTTCCTATCAGCTATCTTACAGTGATCAATTCGTGGAGTGCTAATGTTCCCCCTACTAATGTTTGTTGCAGGGAGATAGAGGGACGACTCTGTTTTGAATTGAAGAAACTATTTCATGGCGGTAAGTTTTGCAGATACTTCCATTGGCGTTGTTAGGTTTTTTTGTACGCGCTACATTAGCAATATACAACACAAATTTCTCCTTTTTTCAAATTTTTGGGTTTTTGGTTTCTGAATTTTGATTCTGATTTTTTTTTGTTTTGTTTTAGTAAGACGGACACGAGTAAAGTGACAATGTTTCTCCTTGCAATTGCCCAGACCTGCGTAGTAAATTTAAATTTGTTTCACATGCTGAATCTGTGTGCTAATGGCTGTAACATCTAAACAATGTTTCATCTTGTCACTCTTATAGGGCATCCTTGTCTTTATTGCCTGTGATAATAAGGACTTGAAGTCTTATGGTGTGGGTTCGAATAAACATGAGATTTTGAATTTATGTTTGTTCATTTTTTGTTGATAGATTCATGCACTTAACGTTCACCCAGGTGACAAAATTGTCTGGTTCATTAATTATCTAGTTGAAAAGGCATAACATACCTATTTTTTCTGTATTGCCGAGGCGCTTCTTCCCATCCACCTTTCTGATTCGATTTCATAAACGCCATTTGATTCTGATACAGCGACCCCATGTTCCGAAATTTGGAGCTTGGGATGCGAAAGGAGGAAATGGGGGAACTTACACTGCAGTATTTGACCACGCTCGCGCTGGCAAGGGTGGAAAACTCATAAATCCCAATGATCCAGCCGAGAATGACGCTCTAGCCGCTCAGTTATATGGTGGTCCTCTTCCTACTCAGCGAAACAATGATCGCTCTCCATCTCGTGGTAGACAGGCATATGATACCGGTAATCTTCTTTTCTAATCTTCAACGCTACGGAACATTGCTCTTAAAAAAAAAACCAAGTTTGTTGACTCCTTTCTTCCTTTTCACAAGTTTCTTCCTCTAAATGAAGCCATGTAAACCGTCTGTGACATGATCTAGATTATGATGCCCATGTGAGCATTTGTTATGCAGCTCGAAAGTGAAGAATTCTTGCGAATGACGGATTATGTTTCACATGATTGTTTGAAGCTGATGTCTACGTAGAAAATTATCATCTATCGTTGCATTTGTGATTGATCATTGGATTCCTAATGACAACAGGGCGACCTGAGCCTCCACCTAGGCGTCCTCAACAGGATAGGTATGGTGATGGCCCAAGCCACAGTGGTGAACGCTCATCTGCAAATCCTTATGCATCGGGCGCCCGTGAGGCTGGACGAGGTGCTGCCACACCTGCCATGGGGCGAAGAAGTCGAAACTTCTCTGGAGGAGACGAAGGTTCTGTGTTGGCGCCAGGCACTCCGAAGGCTCGTCTACGAACACAAGGTGGAAGACCTGAGGAGGTATAAGAACAGTCCCTTGGTGTCACAAGCTTCATGAAATAAGAGAAGTAAAGTGCTGATACTAAGTTCCAGAAACAGCGTATTCGGGAAATGTTAGAATGTCATACCTTCACATCGTCATGGGAACCAAATATTAATGTGAGGAGCTTTGAATGTGAACAGCCAACGAAAGGAGGTGCACTGCCTAAGTTTGGAGATTGGGATGTGAAAGACCCAAATGCTGGAGAAGGTTTCACTGTGATCTTCCAGAAACTTGCAGATGAGAAGAAAGAAGGTGGACCAGTGCAAATTCCAAGATTGAATCCAGACCACCGTCTATCTCATGATGAAGGTCACGGCAAGCGGAGTCAGTATGGAGCATCAAAAGTGACTAAAGATACTAAACATAGTCGTCAACCGGTAAGTCTGGTTAGGTGTATATGATGATTGCTATAAGGAACTTCACATATCGCCTTTTGCTGTGCTTGATGAAAGAGGTTTCGGTCATTGTATGGTAACAAATGAATCCATATCCTATTCTTCATTCTGCATTATAACAACATACAGTTTGTTGCGGAACTTTCTTGTGCTAGTGGAATCCATTTTTAAACTCGTCTTTTCTTTCTTATGATGTCAACATCTTTGTTACCTCATATGAAACTTGGGAGGCGCACGAAGTAGAAAAAATCATGTCATGTGCAGCTTGTTCTTTATCAGTGAAAATGTTGTACTGAACGTCAATTTCCTGGCTTGCTAATTTAAACCATAATTGTAAGTTGCATGTGCCAACGGTTATGAGGTGCATCCTGTCAAACCTGCTTTTTGTTTTTTACTGCAGGGGTGCTGCACCATTTTGTGAAGATTCCACAGCTACCTAATTTTAAGGTGTGAGCTCATGTTTTCAACTATTGCTGTGGAGGATAAGTACATTGTAGTGCGGGGTGTTACACTTGGGCGTTGTAGTTTTCATCATTCATGAAACCAAAGCAAAGCATTTCGGAGATTTGTTTTGTGCATTTGATGCCTCGCGTTGGTTTCCTTCTCCTCTCCAGGTTTTCTCAGTTCTGGTGCACATTCATGATTCCCCACATTCGTGAGATCTATTTCCAGACTTCCCTTTCCGGAACTTGTGTGCTGTGGTTGTGCTGTTGCAGTGGTTCAGATGGCGTCTATGATCGATCGTTAAGCACGGTTGGAGCCCTCAAAAGCACTCAAGGTCATGTTGTGACAAGAAGATTACGCGTCGAATGTTTAGACTGAGTATCTCTCGTCACCGTTGTGAACTTTCTTCCGTGCAGTCTTTTATCAAGATGGGGTCTTTGCATACTACAAAATAAGTTATCATTTACCTCCACAACACAGGCAGTCGGTATCCTAGCAAGCTGATGTTTCTTTTCTGACTGCTACTCCGTCAGTTTCTACTTTGGAAGCCTGGGGTGGCATAGTGAATTGATATGTGAACCCATCTGCATAGGGCTGATATACTGATAATGAGGCTGATAGACCTAATACAGCTAAAGCTTGCAGAACCATACTCGTCTCACCTCCGTGAGTAGTTTGCATCACTGTTTATATTACTTTCTGGTGCTCTGTAGCCAGATCTAGTTGCGAGATTGTCTAACCCAGTTGTACTCTTGTGGGTTTCTGATATAGCACTATAAAAGCAGTAGGGAACTTGTGTGGTTTATGTTCCAGCTCTATCCACTTTGAGCAACACCCTGTATACTTTTCAAGGCCTATGTGAGACTACTGTAATTTTGCTAGTTGAATGTATCGATTCAAATTCGTATGATGTAATTTAAAATGACGAGATTCTTGGATTAACATAAATTTTTTTATGATCTGGATTTTCTAAAGATGGCCAAAATAATTCTGTTTTTTTTTATTTTTTACCTTGGGTTCAATTTATTTGAAAAGACGTCAGTTACTTAAACAGTAATAAACGTAAAATGATTGTGTATATAAATATATGATTAAATAAGCAGATTAAATCTCAAGAATTCTTTAATTTTAATTTTAAATTTATTGCGAGATTTTTTTCTTCTCTTTACATTTGATTTCATACTCCACATTTTTTTATTTAACATTCCTTTAAAATTTGAATTGCTTTTCATTTTAAATGGCATTCCGATGTTCAACCTGTTGAATTCTGAAGGCTTCACATTCCAACTAACGAAGTGGTCTATATACTTGCGTACACAATTGGTAACGTATGTCTGAGTGTGTATACACTTGTGCATTTACTATCATCAGACACAGATTATCATGTGGATAATTCCTCGGGATTGATGATTTCAATGCTAGAGGTCACAAATGGTTGCTATTTCTTCTCTTCACTTCCCTTCCCTCGTTTACAACGCTAGAATAATGGGATTGTCGGAAAAAGTGATGATTTGAGAGATTGTCTGTCGACCAGAATGTGCGAAATGTGAGAACTTGCATTGATCAGCAAAACGTGGAGGCAGCCTTAGGATCACTCTCATAAACATCTAGGCCACACTGCCACGAACCAAACTTGGTTGCTACCACTAGTCTCGAACAATGGCCCACTTTGAGAAAGCTTACTTATCTTATTAAATACTGTTCCAATAAATTGACCAAAAAGTTCAACGTAACAACGACTTACCATGCAAAATTCAAGGTGTCAGCACTCGTTTCGAATGGATTACAAGTTAACTCGAATGTGAGGCACACAGGTTGCGAGTCACCCTGCCGCTTATGGAAGAGTGGATTGTGCAGATGCACAGCAGAGACATCACACAAAACAAGCTGAGTCCCCGCCTTCTCCTTGTACTATCCTTACGACAGGAGCGAGATTCGATCCTCTCGGAACTCTACAGATTCATCTACCGTACTACCAGTAGTCTAGATTTCAACACGTGAACGCCCAATAGTTCGAATGCACAAAATGTGAGAATGGAAATAGTAGCAACCCCGTGTAGCAAGTGAAAACGTATAAAAGATAACTCGATTCTAAGGTTGATGTCCAGAGTTTGACCTTCTGGATTCGAAGTTCCCTTTACACGTTCGTTCAATTCGACATACACCCATGCCTCGCCCAGCCCTCCTGCTAATATGAATCGTGTCATCGAAGGCCAACTGATATACAGGACAACCATGTGCCAAGGGTCATTTAACGAGACTTTCGCTAAACTCCAAAGGCTTAACGTGCAAGTTAACCGAAGTAGAAATGACCAGGTTGAGAAGAGTTTGTTATTTGGATATGATACGAACAATTGTCCACGACAATGGGCGGCAAGGAGATCGAGCACTTCCCCAGGACAATACTTGCAAGCAATGAGGGCCTTAAACTATTACTTACCGACGCAATCACTCAGTAGGGTGATATCCGAGCGGGCCTTCTAGATAGGTGCGCATCTACAAAGAGGTGAGTAACTCTGCTTTGGCTTCAACATGTCTGGCAGGGCACGCTTGTTCTATACGAAGTCAAATCGCACCTACAGTGTGCAATAGTGGAAGGAGGATAAGAAGGATCAAAATAATAACCAACGCAATACCCATGCACATCCACTTCCGGGTGTTCCGTTGATGATTTTTGGCAATTTTCAGCTGTGTTGTTCCTCTCTCAACAAACGATGCCGCCTTATTCACCTGTGACTCGATGTCATTCAATTGCTCTCCCTGGGTTTCAACCAACGTTGCCATGTCCATGAAGATCTGGTGCAATTCGATTAAATTTCTCTCAATGTCCTTAACAGCATCGTGCCGTTCTTGAATCTCCTTTATTGTTTCCAAGACTTGGCCTCGCCCTTGCTCCTGGATTGCCTTTTGAAGGAAGGTCTCGCTGTTTCCAGTCTCGATGATATTTTCAATAGTTTCATCATCCGCATGCTGTCCAGTTACTGTATAATATCTGCCACATAAAAAAAGTTAATACGAGGAAGACTGAAGGAGATGACCATACTTGGAGTACAGCGCTCAGATATAACACTCAGGAAATTTACCACTTAGCAGATTTACACTAAGGGAGGACAGGTGCTTTAAGATACTAGCTATTCATGAAAAGGCAAAGAACAAACACTGGAGAGACGAGACCAGCCCGCACTGCATCTCAGTTTAGCTTGATCATTCCCACTAATTACCATACAGAGAGGTTTCAAGAACCAGGGTAAAAGGTATTTGCTCAAATAGAGGGTGCAATGAGCACTTTAGAGTGTCAGTATTCTTGAAAGAAAGGAAACCTGTTCAAGTCTAATTGACAAAGAACTACCCAAGAAAGAATCGAACTAACCACCAAGAGTCTACGAAAATTAACGAGATTTTCATTCAACTTGATCCCTGACCAAACCAGGATAATGGGTTACATGTGATGGCAAGACAGCGGCTGCATAACATTGTTCTCAAGAACAACCTCCAAATAAACAACAAGGGGACAGAATGAATCAGCGTTGATCAGTGTTCAATCGCAGGGAAATAAGAAGGAGCAATCCTCTGCCCACTGTAAAGGCACAGCATTCTTATACCTAGCCTATGGCATTGCTATGAAAGATATTTCAGAGCCAATCAGGTGTCCACGTCTCAGATTCCTCACTTCAAAGAGTCGGCAGTGACGTTGGGGATACTTGCAAAAGAGACTACAGAAATGTACTTAGCATGTAGGGTCAAGGGAACTCGCTATGCTTGGAAGACTCTCGGGCAGAATAAAACAGAAAAAAATTAAGCTGTTCAATTATCTTAGAGAGTGAAGGTGCGCATTTAGGAATAGCATAAAAATGGGTCCTCACCTCCTCTCCACAGTTTCCTTGTACTCTTCCATCATTTTCTGCCTGAGGATCTGAAATTCTCCCATCAGGTCCTTGAGCTTCTTCCTCAACGTGTTAGTGATGGACGATCGGGTCCTATCGGTTGGTGTTCCCTCTTCGCAACCTCTAACTCTTCTGTTCGCAGCATTAGCTCTGTCGAGCTCCTCGAGTTTGAACTTGATAGATTTGGCAATCTTTGTCACTTGCGCGATGTCTGCGTCCATCCGAGACCGCAAAGCTTTCATAGCCTGTGCCTTGTGCACTGTCCTGCTTTCTTCATTGGCATCCTTGACCTTTTCGAGACAATGCTTGATTTTTTCCATCTCACTCTTGATGACTCCCACCTCGTCAAAGAACTGCGACATATCAACTTCGCCATCTCCAATAGAGGCTTCCCCGAGTTCAATATCTCCCCTACGGATATCCTTCTTCAGATCCACGTAGTTCATAGCCTTACCAAACGAGTTGCTAAGAAGGTTGTTCATAGTGACTCACTCTCAAGCAATTTTGGTCGTGTTGCACAAAAACCACAGGACTCGCGCTCGCGAAGCTCCACTTTTCCACGCGGAAATTTCAAACTCGGGAACAGGCCTACGCTGTTAACAGCGTTACACTGACGGTTAGGTCAGTCAATATTAGAATACACGCTGTCCACTTCACATCCAAAATGCTGAACCTTACGCACACAATGCACTCCCATCTACTACAAAACTACACAAATCACACTTGCGACCACCTCGCAATCTCTAACTCTCACCCTGCGCTACAATGTCGACAACAATCTCGCTGACACTGTCAAGCTCGACCGCCTCATACTCGAAGAAATCCACCTCAACAAAACACTGCGGCATTCCCTTACACGCTGCAAGACATCTCTTCCATCGCGGGGAAAATCAACTGATAATGAATAAAAATAGAGGCAAACAAGTGAAAGAGAATGCAGTAGGGTGTAGAGAGGGTCCGGCCTTGTCCGAGCTTGAAACCAAATCAAACCACAAGAGAAATGAAAAACCGAAACGGACATTAGAAAACGAAAAGGGCAACAACGGAACTCGCTTCCGCAGACGATAAACTCAGCCTTCGACTAAATACCGCCCATCGGAATTTCATCCCCGGGTTGAGATTCTTGGCACCTGTTCTGCTCAGAACCCTCTGCCCGCCCGATTCCCGGGCAGCGAGCCTACGGCAGTAGTATCCATCGTTAATTAAATACTACTCTCCCAGTAACTAATTAATTGATTAATTAAACTATGCTTACCATTTGGAAGACTCCCCCATGGCAAGTGCTAAACTTCTCAATCAGAGCGTCACTTTTTCGAACCTCGCCAGCGGCGGGAGCGGGATTGCATTCGAGAGCGCAATCGATCAATTCAACGCGCTAGAGCTCGAAATTTCAGGAACTGCCCGAAGCCGAAGAATTTCAAAAAAAGTCATCCCGCTCGTATTCAGTCGAGGGTGGAGTCTCGTTTTCCCAATAGCGCCTGGCCAGGTGGCGAAGAGTGGGGTGAGCTGGAGCGGGGGAGGACCCCAAGAGGTTCGCTAAAAGCGAGGGCGTGCATGCGTGGACGCCCGCTCTCCCCCGTGTTTGAATTTTCCGTTGGAGAGTGTATCCGCCAGTGTCCAGCGTTTTCTGTTTTTTTCCTTTCAAATTGTCACATATAATCCAACAAAAGCGGCACCGCTCTTATAATTCACGTGTCAGAGTTGTGACAGAATTTGAAAATTCGCCAACAGCTCGACTGCAACCGCTTTAGAGCCAGTGAGTGAGCCAATCCTTTCCCATATTAACTACTTCGTTGCTTGTCCGTGCTCTTGCAGCCTCTGTGTTGTCCTTGATTTACGAGCCTTTCCCTCGCTCTCTCTCTCTCTCTCTCTCGCTCATTTTGTGCGTGTTGATTGTTTGCCAGTCATTCCATGGTTTGTTGCACATTTCAATTTTGGTATCTCTAGACTCTATCAGTCGCTGATAAAAACTTAGGCTAAATTAGTGTGTAACCAACTCTTTTAAGCGTAGTGAGCCTAAGTTAAGGTATGGATACTGTCAGTTGTGAGGATATGCTGTGAGTCTAATGAGTTGAACATGACGTACAGGACTAGAGGAGTAATCTTGGGCATTGTTAGCGTGTCACTGACTCTGTAGCAAATTTCAGTGTGATTGTGAAAGGTGCCTGTCCTTAGGCGCCATCAACGCACACCTGGGTGCTCCCATGTCCAACATTCTTCATTATCTGTCTCAAAGGTGCTCTAATTTCCTTCTTTTTGTTTTATGTGAGTGAGTCTGTGTTACCATGTGAAACATGAATTATCCAGAGCGTGGCATCTACTCTACTGTTTCGACTCAGCTGCCTTCATAGCTTGGAAATACTCCATTCTTGTGATTATCAGGAAAAAGAAAAATATCTTGAGCTCTACATTATGATCGTCTCGGCAGAGTTTTCCTTTCAGGTCATCCTAGGTCGAAAAGAGCCCATTTTGGTGATCTAAGAGAATGCAGAGCGAGGATTACGGTTCCAGTGTTTTACGAAAATAGACATTGAAGTCTTTAAAGAATCATTAGTTGTTAAGTTCATCAACTTCGTGTAAAAGGAGTGTTGGGCTTAAAGAATGAAATATTATTTTAAAACTCCAAAAATTCAAATTTTCAAAGAATGACTCTTTAAATGGTAATACTTTGGCGGTGCTAAATTTGAATTTGTTTTATATATTATTATCTCAAAAATTAATTATATGTCTTCTAAGAAATATATTTAGTTTGGTATTTGATAATAGTAGTAAATAGTTTCAAGCCAATAATTCCAGCACTATTAAGCATCAAAAACTACAGGTCTTACCAAGTCTAAAAAATGTTTCGAAGAGCTTTGGACGCAACAAAGAATATGCTTTGTACAAACAATGAACTTAAAATTCTTTGATATGATATCAACTATAATAATAATAATAAAGTAACATGATAATAAAGGTTTGATAATAAGTACTAAAAGCTTCATATATTGTCCAAAGATTGGTTTGCTAATGATTGCATCAAATCAAAACCAGAAATAAGGTACAAATGAGAGATAAACAAATATAAAGAATAACTTTCTTTTAAAGATTCAAAAAAAATTATGATGTTTTTTAAAAATTAGAAATATTTGAAGAATAAGAAGCAAGAATTATAATTATAAATATTTTGATTCTTTGTATATTTAAAATGAAAGAAGAAGAGAAAAAATTTAAAATTACAAATCTTATTTTATACTAATAAATTTGAATATGAAAATTTTAAGTAAAAAGAGTATGATTATGTAAATAGCTATTGAGCATTACAACACATTGAGTGCTTCAAATCAATATGAAATATAAAGTTAAATCCAAACAATAATGTACAACAAATATACTTTTAAGGATAGAAGTACAAAATTTTAGAACAATTGGTTAGTTGAGCTATCCCTCATACCACAAAAAAATAATTAAAAAGTACAAGTGTATAAGAAAAAAAACAAAGAAGCTTTACTTAAGGTAAACTACTATAGCTATAAATCCTTGCAACAAGCTTTCTTCTATCAAAATACTCACAACACTTGACTTGGTATACATGTCAAGTTTAGAGGGTCTTTTCTCTTATACTTCTAAATCCTAAAGGCACCAAAAAGTTCAGATTAGCTTGAATAAGCTTAGAAGAAAGAGTAAAATTCCAAAACTAAATCAAATCACATAAGCTACAATGAATTTGATTTAATATAGCATTTGATATTACCTCATGTGATAGTATGCTTTAGTAACCATTAAATCCTCGAAAAAAAGATATCTATAACAATTGGATAAAAAAAATATCAATTAAAATTACAAAAAAAATAATTAAAATAAATATATTGTGCCAATACTTTGGAAGATCATTGATGCTATAGACTACTTAAAACTATTCAAGACCTTAAATTATTGGTGTGACTACTATAATGTATTTATATAATTAAAAATTATAAAATATATATAGATTTTAAAATAATTGAGTTTAGTGAAGATTCAATTTTCTAAATAAAATATATATCTTTTTAAATTAAAATATATTTTTAATATATTTCAATATGCACAATTAATATTTATTATTTATAAAGTATTACATAGCCAATTATAGAGTCTTAAGTGAGGAATGCAAAGTATATAGATTCTATTTAGAAAGAATCTTTAAAAGAATAAAAAGACACATAGTAAAACTCAATCTAAAAAAGTACTTGTTAATTTCTTGCCAAGTTGAATATATAAGTTCTAAAATACATCTGAAAAAACTTGGTAGTATTTTTTGATAATAAAAAAGTAATAATAAATATAATATTACCAAAATATATTATTATATTTTAGTTATTTTAGAGACATATTATTATAAAATATTTATAAAAATATATGTAGATTTTGAAGTTTTTTCCTATTTTAGTTTTAAATAACTAGCCTTAAAGTTGGAAAGATTATAACAAATATATTTTTGGAGTTCAAGTTACAATTAGCTACAGCATCTATGTTGTAGTAAAAAAATCTAAAGAAGTCTTATTAGTTGCTTATTAATAGAAGTTTGATAATAATTGGTATAATTATTATATGAAATATAAATAAATGCATGTGATTTATGAAAGCTAAGTTGAGTTTCTTAAATGTAAACTAAAACATTGATTTAAATTATATCAAATCAATGAATATATATATATATATATATATATATATATAGCTTGGAAAATATTTCAGTAAATTATATATAATTTATTTTAAAATCCAGCAGCTCCTCAACATTAAAATTGGTTTCAATATTTATAGAAAAGATAATTGATAAAATAATTATAAAAATTTACAAAAATACTATTTTATCTAGTAAAAATTGTTTAGATTTAATTGGATATGGCCACACATTAAATTCTATTGAAATTATAGAAGGTCCATTTAGGTGGAATATTAAACATTAATGGTAGGATTAAAAAAATATAAATAAATCTCACAAGAAATTTAATTTTGTGCAATTTGTGTATAATTAATGGTCTACTTGCTTTCAAATTAAATTATAATATAATCTTAAAGAAAATTAGAGAAGTACTACAATATTTTTATGTACATTTTTCTTTAAAATTTCCTTTCTAATATTTAATGCTACTTTTAAATCAGTTTATTATAAATAATAAATAAATAAATAAATAAAATTCTTAAAGATGCAAGACAAAATCTAGACATTGACTATTGAAAAAAAAAATCTAAAAACAGAGTTGTAAACATTGTTTTAGAATAAAAAATCATTGTAAATAAAATTTTATGGATAATAAAATATTAAAGACAAAAAAATAAAAAAGAAAAATATATTTAAGCATTTAATTTATTATATTTTTTAGACTAAACTCACCTTATTGTATGACCATTAAACTTTTTTGTACTTGAACCTCGTAAAACTATTTGCACTACCATGTTGTGCAAAGAGTTCAATATAAAGTAATGCCAAAATTCTTGTATGAATACTTATTTTTTACTAAATAAATAATAATGATAATAATAATAATAATAATGCAAAAAAAAAAATACAAAAATAATCTACTCACTTTGTTTGTAATAGGTAATAAGATTTTTTCACATTATCAGTAGTATGTGGTATGTTTTTAAAAATAACACATGTTTACAAATAAATAAATAAATATATATATATATATATATATATATAACTATCTAGCTTGGTATCTATTGATACTTAAACATATCATGGTATCGCAAGCATAATCGAGTACTTTAGTATTATATCTTTGACATTAATTTTAGTAATTTTAGATCACACAATCTAATATGCATACAATATTTAGGTCTATGGTTCAACCAACATGAATAAATCAAAATAAAGAATAAAGAATATAGAAATTATATGATATAATTATGTATCTAAATTGGTAAAACAAATCATATAATATGATACTCTAAATTAAAAAGATGGAAAATAAATTTTTGATGTATAATCTTGCCACCATATTAAGGATTATTTGATATTAATTTATATTGGCTAATATATATTATGTTGTAATAACTATCAATTTTTTATTTAAATTTCAATATAATTATGTACAAGCATCTTTTATGTGTTATTATGTATTATTGGTTTCATGTAAGTGGTTAATATAGAAATGTTAACAATTATTTTCAATATTTATTTTTGATCTGCAAATAAAGATAACAAATATTGATTCTTATAGAGTAGACTATTATAAGCAAAAAAGTAGGAACAATTGTAATCAATAGTTTCTCCAACCAAACATAATTTGGCTACATTTTTATTTTTCAATCTTAAATTAGAATAATAAAATTTATTTAATGATAGTAAATTTAATATGTATATATATATGTATATATATATATATACATATTTTATAATAAATTCAGAAAACACAATGATTTTCTGAATGGTTTTAATTTTGTTCTAAACTTCTATGGAAGTACATTTTAATGGCAAAAAAATTAAATTTTGGGTCAATAAAATATTAAGGTAATTATTTTTATTATACTATAATATTTCATTGTTATACATAATAAAAAAGTAGAAGAATTAAATACTTTAGTTTTAAAAACTGTACATAAGTATACAATTCATTATTACTTGAATAATAATTTATTGTTTTTTTGGTATGTAACACTATATACTGTCATCTTAGAAATAATTTTAGGACTTTTAAAAATCAATAAGCATTTTCAAATATATTAGTAAATGAAATAGAGCAATTAATCATTATTACATAAAATTCATGTATAACTAAATTTACTATGATAGTTTGTTTTTAGATATGTATTCTATCAGCTCTAATCTTGTTTTTCTTTTCCTTTTTTTTTTTTTTTTTTTTTTTTTTTTCTGAAATTTAAAATTACCATAATCAACCAAATTTTTATGATTTCCAAATAGCTATCTTAATCAAAATTTTAATAAATTGTCATTTTATTTTATCATTTTAAATTCTCATATTTCAATATTTAGCTATTTTATAATATTGTGCCAATATCTTATTTATTTTCAATGTACAATATATAATTCATATTTTAAAGAGAACATACAAGGAAAATTATATATATATATATATATATATATATATATAGGCAAGGTAAAAAAAATTAAATTTCAAAATACTATAATTATAATTACAAAGAAGTATTTTGTGTATATGTGTTTGTTTATATGGATAATAAAAAAATAGAATGTAAAATAATATTTGAATTGAAAATGAAAAATAAAAAATATATTTTGAATATAAATTTAATTATAATAGACATTGTATTCTAATTGTACGAAATTTATATGTCTTAAAAAAGATACTTTTAATAGAAAAATACAATAATATTAAGCTTATTGTACTTTAGTTTATTATTATTCATAATATAATTAAAGATTTAAATAAAAATATTTATTTGTAAATTATTTGAAAACGACAATTTTAAGCTAGTCTTCTTTAATCCCAATCTACTTTTAATCTCAAGCACATGTAAAGCTTGAATTGGTTTTATACATAAACGGTTTTTAGAAATTTGATACTCATGCTTCTAAAAGAAGTTTTGAGTTTTGATCAAGTAAATAACACAATAATACTATTAAATTTTGATGGTTCTGAAACAATCAAAAAAAAATAGTTCTGAAAGACTGTAAGAGATTCCACAAACACTGCAATTGTAAACTTTCAGTGGATAAAAGCCATGTTCTACTCCAAAATAACCTTGAAAATTGTGTAATTTCACACTGCAATGAAACTTCAAATTGGGAAACATGTATTTCAAACATATTGTGTATATATATTGTTTATTACAATCCAAAACTCGAAAAGCATGCATATGAAATTCACATCAGAGTTGTATTTATAGAAGTCTAAAGTCTGAAATAAAATCAAAATAAAAAGATGCCACCTTAATGTGAATATTATAAAACACATCAACTATTTTACACATTCGTTTTTATTGCAGAATGACTTCTGTAGCATAATTTCTCCTAAATAAACTTACACTTGTGTTGTGAACAACATGAATCTCAAAAAGTAATGAAATTAAATCTTGTAGACTTTTGTACGATACATTTTCAGCACCGCGGTTAAGAAATTTCAAAAGTAGAACAAACAGAACCTTAAATTGCTGGTCTCAAGACACAGCCCGCACAGTTTTTCAAAACTCTAGCAATTCAATGGTTCGAAGTTCGTTTCACAAAAATAGCATTCCCAGAGAAGACGATGGGATCAACTCACATACAAGATGAAGATTCAAAGCAGCAATGCGTCACAAAGCACATTTCGTCGTGGAACTTATTCAAGGAAGAGGCTACGCACATTGTAGCGCATGAATCGCACGCAAAGTCGATCCCCGAAAACCTGCAACACTTGCCGACGGCGTGGAGGAGGGGAGAGCTTGCGGCGAAAAACCTGTACAGAATTGCACTCGCATAAAACCATTCACTAACAAATAAATCAGCTACAAATAAATAGGGGGAATTCCACGCTCTGATGATTTTGAAACGACGTGTAAGAGTGGTGGCGCGGATCCTAAGAATAAGTGAGGAGAAGAGGAGGAGAAAGGAACTCGGAACTCAAAGAAGACCGAAAGAGCGGAGAAGAGGGATGGCAAGGACGAGAATCAAAACAATGAGCAGAATAATAGCGATGAGGCACCACTTGCGCGAACTGCGTTGTGTGTTCTTCGCAACTTGCAGCTGTTGAGTGCCTCGCTGTATGAAGGACGATGCCTTGTTCACCTGTTGCTCAATATCATTCAGCTGCTCTCCCTGCGCATCAACCAGGGTGGCCATGTCCATGAAGATCTGGTGCAATTCCAAAAGGCTCCTCTCGATGTCCTTCACAGCGTCATGGCGTTCCTGAATTTCTTTGATTGTCTCGAGGACGTGCCCTCGACCTTGCTCCTGGATCGCCTTCTGTAGGAACGTCTCGCTGTTTCCAGTCTCAATGATGGTGTCTATCGTTTCTTCATCCGCATGTTCTCCCGTCACTGTGTAATACCTGCAATTCGCAAGGATGCATACAACATTGGCTATCATGAGTACTCCTCCGCATGGAATAGACACAGCACAATGTGAATGAGTCTGGAATCTGATGCGCCTTCAAGTGAGTCTCGAACGTTTATGTCTCTGTAAAAGAATGCACGCAAGCGTTGCCTGTAACAATGTGGAAGCATGTGACAGAAAAGGTGAAATCCTTACCTGCGCTCCACGCTTTCTTTGTATTCATCGTTCATATTTTGCCTGAGGATTTGGAACTCTCCCATCAGATCCTTTAGTTTTTTTCTTAAAGTGCTGGTGATTGACGTCCGGGTCCTGTCAGTTGGTGCCCCCTCCTCGCAGCCTATCACCCTTCTGTTTTCGACATTGGCTTTGTCCAGTTCTTCAAGTTTGAATTTGATAGCCTTAGCAATCTTGGTCACTTGCCTGATGTCCGTCTCCATGCGCGCTCGCAGAGCTTTCATACCTTGTGCTTTGGTCACTGTCCTACTCTCGTCATGTGCATCTTGAACTTTCGAAAGCAGTTGTTTGATTTTTTCCATCTCACCCTTAATAACTGCTACTTCATCGAAGAATTTCGTCATGTCTATTTCAGGCCCAGTCGACGCCTTATTCCCGAGTTCAATATCTCCGTGCCGTGAATCCTTCTTCAGATCCACATAGTTCGATCCATCTCTGCCAAAAGACCTTGAGAGAAGGTCGTTCATTGTGATTACAACTCAACAATCTCTCGCAATATGAAATGAAAAATCCAAGTTCCTTAATAAGGCAGCTGGCTTGCCACTACTTCAGAAACCCCTAAACACTACTATTCGTCCCACGCTTCTTCACTGTAGACCTTGAAGCAAAATCTCAGCCGACCAGAACGAAGCTGACACGAGAGGCGGAGCTCGCCTGATCCTTTCCACCTCGTCCGTAACCATCATCACTCTGTGAAAGAAATGCGCCATACCCCGGTAGCTTCCAAAGAATCTAGATAAATCTCGCGTAATGTCACCAGAAAATATGTATTTTCAAATATCACACTTTCCTCACTTGGTTTGCTTCGAAATCCTAACAAACAAACCCAAGATTATCAATCTTCTGGTGCTACAACATTGAATCTCAAAGCCTCCTCATAGATCGGCACGATGCAGGCAAGTTGAGGCCAACACTACATAGCGTTGACAAGCGCTACACTCAAGCAATGGTGCTGCAGAGATTACTCAGCTGGACAACAAACCGTTTATACAAAACGGTCAACTCCTTGAGACGAAGAGAAAAGAGCCTCAAAAAGTGAGCCAGCAGCTTAAGTACTCAAAAGTAGATCCAGAGTAGAATAATAGTGATGGGCATCGAACATCACGACGCGAGAATTGGCGTGTCAGGGGATTCCTAGCGTAAAGGGGAGAGCAGTGGAGAGAGCACCAACAGCCCAATTACATCCGGGGAAGATCAGATGTGCCTTAGGAGACATTGCCACGATTCTCGCGATCAGATGCTAAGTAAAGACCAGCGCAAAGCCGGGAATACACAATCACACGCCCTATATTCAACCCGCCAGTTGAATCCACACGGTAATATTCCACCAGATAGAGAGTGTTGCCCAAAGGATTCTTGTAGATAAGGTGGAAGGGTAACCAAGTTGGCACGCACACGGCCGACGAATGCCGACATTTACTCACATTCACCGCTGGCATTGCGAGATGCCACTTGCAGCAAAACTGATTTCGTCTCGCGGAGTGCATAACATGCCTCGTCCCAAAGTTCTAAGGCATCACTCACTCATTGTCGAATTTGTTATGGTACACGAGTATTCAGTGTCATAGTCCTTTCTTTACCATGGTTGTCATATTGTAGCACCTATTTCCCAGGATTATAAAATGTGTGGTGAACTTTAGAATTGTCCGTGTTTTCAGCTGTTCGTTTTAGTCGAGCCCCCAGCAGATGCTAGAGTAGCCCAACAACTCTAGAGTGTGTCGGAATAGAACTCATACCAGAGAATGAAGACATTGAACAAAATATCTCATATTCAGAAGTGTAGTTGAAAATTTCTACACTAGAAAATGACTCGTGTTTGATCCGTAGTTGATGCATCTCTACACTGGCTACCCAGAACTATTCAGCAGCAACCGTGTTATATCAAAACTTCCCGTAGATTAATCTAGCAGTTCCCACCTCAGTCTGCATGCGTGGACACCAGAAAAACCTCTAAATAGGTGCGTTTCCTCAAAGAGCCTACTGTTCAATGTAAACACCACCCCTACGCTATTCAGTTACTACAACGGTTTCTATCAAAAGTTACTGAACCGTTACTGTCTCCAGGGAAGAGAGGTCAAACTTTCGACCATTATCACATACAATTGCAAAATTTGAGTAGCCATTCTAAATTCAAGCTTTGTGCTTGGCTGCAATGTGCTGGCTCATAGAAAGCTCCGAGGTAAACGTCCTGGAAGATCATGTTTGCATACATCATCAGAAACCAATCAAAACACGCATTTTCAACGAAAGAGGACTCAACTAGACTACAGGCAATAAGGATGTAATCTTGAGGCTATCATAACTCGAGGAAGCTTTACATCATGACCAAAATAAATAAATAAATACATGGAAATAACGAACCAAGCGACAGAGTACAATGCGATGCTCAAACCCTCCATCCCCACTTCTCTTTCAGCGTCTCTGTAAATCTTAACTATGCTTCCGAATGAAACTATAAAACAGTAACCATTCTTAAATGCCTCAAATTAGCGAGATAAAATGCTCTGCAGAACCGGCATACACGAGATACTAACAACAATCACATCAGTCTCTGAACAAAGACAAATTGACCAGTTTTAGGGAATCCCACCTGTCACAACCCGTGCATTTATACTGTCCAGACTTCTTTTCAGACACAGGTGTGGTTGGAGGGGCAGTAGGAGTACCCTTCGGTGTCTGTCGACAGAACAAGTTATCTCATTAAGACAACCACAATTCTAAGAGTGATCAAATGCTCCGACATACAGTCAAACAGGGCCAATATAGGCGACGGATGCTCAGGTATCTCACATAATATATCCCCATTCAGGCCCCGACGGCTCACATGTTATGATTGATCCTTATCACATCCATCCCAACAGGCGCTTGAGATGAAACAAATCTGTGTAAATAATCATGAAACGCAATGACCAGTTTAAAAACGCATGCTTACCTTAGCTGGCTTCACTCCCTTGTCTGTGGGGGTTTTCGGAGTCTCATTGGCCACAGGCATCGCCTGCCCTCCCTTCACTCCTTTCTTCCCTCCAGAACCAGATGCTGCATATAACACCCCGTCATCAATCAATACCTACATACTCTCGAGCGACACCACATCCATAGGATTGAAAACCGACAAAGTATTCCAAACTATCAGACATAGACCACTCAGGAAGTTAATAACGCCCTCTCAGAGCCCATTTGGGTACAATGTTGCGTTTCACTAAAGCGACAAGTTCTTCAATACTTTCACTCACTGAACTCCACATGCTTTGCTTAACGAAAGAGGACAACTAGGCTGCTTGCAGCGATAAGGTTCTGCTAGCAATCTTCCACAGCTCCTTTCCTGCTGTCATTTTCATTTTCAAAAGACTCGCAAAACTACTACTTTAGGCCCGTCTGGACAGTGATTGATAGCATCACCCTTCTAATCTTGATCAACTAAATAGTGGAATCACCTGGCTTGGGAGAGGCATCCGTCTTAGACTTCTTCTCGACAACCTTGGTGGCCGGTTCCGCTGCAGCTCTCTTCTTCTCAGCCTACAATGCTATTACTTTTAATAAAAGCATTACCATGACACATTCTTTTGACTAATAACTCCTGCATTGACCTCTGCAAATACACATAAAAGCATTTCGACCAATGCGATTGCAAAAAGCGTGTCGCTTAGTCATGCAGCTTGTACAATCACCAAACAGACAACTCTCACAATTACAATGCAAGCTTCACCTTGGGTGCTTCAACCTTGAGCTCTTCCTCCTCAGACTCATCAGACTCGTCCTCGTCGTCCTCTTCGTCCATGTCCTAAAAAAACATAAACCATTGTCAGACCAATTCAAAGAGAAGCACTGAAGCTAGAGACAGAAACAAGACCAACAACAGCGGATAAGCAGGAACTAGCGCGTGTTGGAGCGTCGAGAAGTGATCAACGAGGAAATAGCCAGCAAGTGAGGCAGTAATCTATGCAGGCCATAACATATCTGCAAGGGCCGCTTTCGGGGTCTGTAGATCTCATGTACACCTACATAATAACCTAAAAACGTACTAAATACACCTCATCAGAGGCATCAGCCGCGCCAAACTCGTCATAAGGATCAGAGGCTTAGTAGCTCACAAACAAGTCCCGTACCCTCATTCATTTAAATCCAACCTACCTGGCAGCTTATAATATTCACTTATCGGTCCATTCACCCACGAATCAATGACAGTACGGTGAGGAAATGCCAACGGGTGTGAGATACGACCAATGAGATTCAAACCTGCAAAGCGATTTCACACATCACCCATACAAGCCTACAGCTCAGTGTCTGAAACCACAACTCACATCGTCTGAATCTTCCTCGTCGTCTTCCTCGTCAGAAACATCATCCTGGACTACTTGCTTCTTGACAGCTTTCTGAACAGCATTTGCAGCTGCAGTGGCTGCCTTACCAGCCACCTCCGTGATAACCTTCCCCGCTTTGTGCTCGATTGGAACCGCCGCAGGCACATTGGCATCCTCTTCGTCGTCCTCTTCTTCGTCTTCATGCTCATCTGAATACTTACGTCAGGCACTCAATTCCGATAGCTGTGCCGGAATTACAAACACGAAAGATACTACAACTTCGAGTGAGTGTGTGCTAAGCTCTTCTAACAAGTGCCAATCATCAAATCACCCACTGCACAAGACAAGAAATTCTAATTTACAAAACTAAGATCATTCCAAGCTGATAATTACCTTCAGAGTCATACTCTTCTGGACATTCAGTTCGGTATCCGCATAAGTAGATACTTGAAGAGCTGCTGCTGTGAGAAACCTTGAACTCTCTATCAAAAACAAGATCCAGTTGCATTTGGTCGCACTTGCCCTCGGAAAGAGTCCCCAGCACAATCTCACTGTCGTCAACAAGAACCTTCAAGATTACCCTTTCATTTTCCTTTCCGCTTTTGGCCTTGCTTTTTCCAAGAGCGGCCTGATACAACAAAGTCAAAATGAGCCAATGAGCAAAGAACAGTACTAAACTGCTAGTATACGAAGTTAACTTCCCTCGTTGTGTCCAAATAAACAAGCACGCTATTCTTAAGTTTCTCCACTACGCATATTAAACAAGAGCGTGCTCATCAAGCATCTCTTACAGTACAACAGCTGGAAGTCTACACTGTGCGCACAACAAAATATTTTGAAGAGAAATCAAAGTTAATGCTACTGTACATACCTGTGAAACATGAAGGTGCATTCCATCGCCTGGAGGGCATGAAGTAGGCTTGCCAGGCGGCACTTCGACACCTGTACCACCAGACAATTCAACGTTCATATAATGACGATTAAACTCTAACAAGAAAAACGACGATAAGCATTTATTCATAAACAATGCGGTGATATTAACAATCCGATTCGACTGATGTCAAGAAAATAATCTCTTGTCGGATAAGAAGCAGGCTCAGCACAGAACTCATTCAATTCTCCACAGGTATCGAAATCTAAACCATCCAGGATAAGGAACTTGGAAAGAAAAGGAGATACAAACCAAATAACGATGAGCGAGTATGACCAGGGAGTACATTCCAAATCTCGTGAACGAAATACGTGTACAATCAACGTCTCCGACCATGCCTACCATCTTACGACGATGACAATACACCCAAGTACTTGTAAACCTGAAGTTCTGATTCATCTAAACCTTTACAGCTCTTATAATACCATAGGAGAAGCTCACATGATAAGAAATCGATTGCTATCGACTAATACAAACAGACTCTCGCCTTTAAAATTCTGGCGCTTAAACCCTCGGCAAGAATCGCACGAACCAGCGGAACAAGACTGAAGCCCGCTTGCAACTTGCTCAGAGTATTGCTCTTGCTCGCCATGATCGCGGGATAGCATCAATAACTGTAAAGTCTCCTTCACAGGACCAGAATTCATAAATCGCAAGAATACATTCCGAAAACAGGGTATAATGAGATTTAAGAGTATCCATACCCCAAAACTCCATTGCGCTGAACGGTTTGATTCGGAAAAAGTTGCTTCGTAACAGATAGTCTGCGAGCAGAGTGTGCTCGTAAGCGACAAATAATTCACGGAGTTAGACCGTCATCGCCGCATTTATGTTTGCCAAAAGAAGCTGCCGCCATCGCTCATCCAGTCACGGTTAGGTTAACTACCGGCTGTAGCCATTGTGCGACCGGTTTAGAACTGTATTTTTTAATTATAAGTTTGATGATTTCAAATATGTTGTACAGTTATACTGTAATCATGTCCGGAACTTTTTAAAGATGGGTTTTAGTGGAGAAGACTCTGGATTAAATTCCTATTGAAGATGTCAAATAAAAGAGTCAAATAATCACTAACTAAAACAAGAAGAAAAAATAAAATTTAACAAACTAAGGGCTCTTTAAAAATAAAAATAAAAATCCCATTCCCATGTTCACAGTTTGTATAAATTTCTTTTGTTTTATAACAAGCTCACCATATATTTCATTGAATATCTTAGAGTTTATTTTAAAATCTTTGTAATACTTTTTCTTATCTTTGGAACACACAATTTTAGTTCTTAGTGGATCTTTAAAACATCCCATAAAATGGTTTAAAACTACTTTTTAAGAGACCTCAAGATTTATTGCACAATCCTATACGGTCAATAACAAACTTTTATACAATTTTCAAAGGTACACCACATACCTTATAAACTAATACCTTTGTTGAACAACACATTAAGATTGTGTAGACTAAGGAATTGGTCACAAGACTTTCCAACTTGCTATAAAATTAGGCAAGATAAGATGTTTCTGTCTGCATTACTTATTGTATAATTCAAAAAAAATTATTTTATTTTATTTTATTTTTTGTTTTTTCTATAAATCAACCAATAAATATGTTATAAAAAAATATATAAAATAAAAGGACAGACCTTTTTTATAAGGATAAAATACATATTATTTACACTTATGTAAAAAAATTACTTTAATTTTTGAATAACAATTTTGTGGACTGATTTTGAATCATTTTTGAAATAAAAAATACAAATGATCATAAAAAAAAAATAGAAAATAAAAAAGATATGTCTCTGGTCTTATATTCTATATTATTCTAAAATTGTAATTTAAATCTTTGAATTTTATAATAAAACATCTTTAAATTTTAAAATAAAATACAATTACACTTAAGCTTCTTCTTCGTTGAATAAATTTTAAATAACTTTGGGTTTTTGAAATAGAAATCATAACTTTTGAATAATCTAATAATCAAGAACTAAAAGGTCTATTTATAAAATTTGTTTAAATAATATAATTAGAATTTAAAGAACAATTTGCAATAACTAAAGTTGAAATAAAAATGTGTACATATTTTTAAGTACAATATAAAAAAAATGACTCTTAATTGGTTGAATAGATCTTTATTGTTTGTATACAAGTTTGAATTAGATGTCTTAGTGTCAACTTGGTCTTGATTAATATGTCTTTGTTTTTAATAATAATGATTTTGACTCATCCTAACATCAATTTATACTATAAATTTGTACATAGTTAATAGTATTGTGTAATAATATTAAATCCAAAATATTTTAAAATAAATAAAGAAATAAAATTTTTAAAATCCAATTTTTTTTTTATAATCTAATCTTTTTCTAAAAACCAAACCTTCAATAATATCCATTTTTAACACTCTATAATTTCTTAGAATCAATCATCTAAGCAGTTTCAAGTATTAGTTCTTGTAAAAATATATACTAAAAATTAATAAATTAAATCTATTAGAAGAAAGGAATTCTTGCTTTTCTAGAAGAAAAGTATATTTTCTAATAATTTTGTAGATATCACTCATCTAATTTGTAGTTTTTTTAAAATAGTTTTGTAGAGTTGATTTTCTCTATCAATCTTCACTAATATCAAAAAGTAATCTATTGTTGTTATTATTTCTGTGTGTATATGTGTATGTATGTGTTATTTTTTCATATTCATATCCAAATAAAATAGCTATTTTAAAGTAAGAGATGTATCACATGATAAAACTAGTATTGTTGAAAAAGCTCTTAAAGGATTGACTACCATTTAGGTGTTGGAAACAAAGCAATGCATAATTCTATGTGTGTAGGAATACTAACATACTTGAATGATCAAAGAATGGTGGAATAGACTAAAGATGGCAAAAACTGATCTCATCTCACATCAATAAAATCTACAATAACTTCAATCCTCAAGTTTGAAATTACAACTATAAAATATAAGTTGTGGTAATTCATGTATCTTTAGGGCTGCATTGCTATTAGATTTTGATTAAGTTAATATCATTTTGTTTGAAAAAAAATAATAGTGGTATTGGAAGTGATCACAAATAGACATATCACAACAAAAAATGTTGAAACAAATTCTTTCTATTGAGAGAGTTATTCCATATAATACACTTTAAGTCTCAAAAAGGCTCATGAGTAATGTCAATACAATGCCTTTATTATCAATTGACTTATCAACAACTGCTAATTGATTTGTAAGTACTTTTACCTTATTGACATGAGCCATGAAATCATCTCCTTCTTCTATCTTTACCATTAAGAACTTCTTCCTTGTCCATAGAATCTTGGCAAGGTTTCTACTCTTATAGATGTTGCAAAGAGTCTTTCATGCTTTTGCTGATCCATTACGAGCAATTATATGTGAAAAGTTAGCATCATCCAAATTTGATGTAATTATGCCAAAAGCCTTCTTTTCATGACATTTGTACTTGTATTTCACCTTGACATTAGCATCATCATTTGGAGGCTCTTCACTTTCATCTACCATGTTCCAAAGGTCTAATGAAGAAAATAAAAGTTTAGAAGTTGTCACCTCTAAACTTCCTAATCACTCTCAAATTCTCACCTTCACTTAAAACCATGTCTATGAAAAGGATGTATCAAAAAAAATCAAAAAAAGAGAAGAAAGAGCTCTCAAAATCAACAAGAAGATGTTGTTTCTTTGGAAACCTAAAATGCCCTCTTTGTGAATAAATAAGTGATTTCACTCTTTAATAACTTTCAACTTTACTTATAAGACTTCTTACAAGTCTTATACTCTATTTTAACCTCTTATATAAGCTTTGTCACTTTCCAATCAACCTTCTTCTCTTCTAAAATACTTCTAACCTCACAATATATTTCTTATCATTATGAGAGGATCCCAAGGGAAGTTTATCATATAAAACGACAATGATAGATCACAAATGATCAAAATCAGTAAAGAAACTCAATACTAATGTTCTAAAACATCATTCTAAGGTATGTAACAACCTCCAAGATTATCAATGCACTTAACAAAAAGTAAGAACAAAACTACATCAACAACTAGATATAATAATGGAGTTAGATGATACCAAATCCTAACATCAATAATAACCAAAAGATCTACTCTTTACAAAAAATGACCCTTTATAGAACTTCAAAACTTACAATAAAAGGTGAGTGGGCTCATAACCTATTAAAGAATAAGCACTATGAAGTCACAATACAACATCAACAAAGTTATACACAAAGAGAATATGAAGTAAGATATCTTTTACTTCCAACATCCATTACTTATAAGTAGTAGCTCCTAGCTTAATGAATAATTTCTATCCTATGATGACTACATACATCTAATATTCTACTAAGACTATTTATTCTTATCTTATCTACTATAAAAATATGCTTTTAGTATATTTTATATATTCTTAAGATCTTTAGTCCTTTCATCTACTTTATCTCTTCACCTTCTTACATACTAAGAGCCAATCCTTTAATGAATAGCAACTTATCAAAGATAATATCTTCTACAAGGTAACTTATTCTACTTTCATTTTTACTTATTTATTTTAACATGGAAAACATGATGCAATTTGTGTTGCAACTAATAAGATTTGTATCTTGTGACAAGGCAATCAATCAGTGATATCACATGTTTGATAATTTTGACAATTAGTAATTGATGTCAAGTAGGATGATATTGCCCTTATTAGCCAATTTCTCTACAAATTATAATATGAGGTAAAAAAATTGATGTTCAACTTATATAATCTTCAAACATAGAGTCAAGCAATTAACTTTGTTGTGAAGTATGACATTCATTTTTTTGAGTTTTTTTGTAAAAGTCATAGATGGCTGTCAATTATCTTTTAGAAATATTATTCATGAAACACTTCCTATAGATGTAACAATAAATGGTCATAATAGTTGTATAATTTTTAATATAATTAAGTCTCTCTGTAATTTGGTCATTTTAGGTTTATTATGGCTAAAAATGTATAATCTTTTGATAAATTGGATTTCTTCAAAACTTTTTTCATATCATTATTAAGAGTTTTATAAAAAGCCATGAATCTAATATAGCCAAATTCATATTCATAGGCGCAAAAGCTTTCTTGCATGTAGCAAAAAAAAGATTACCTTTTGTTATTTATACCACACTTATTTTTTATAATGGAAAGACTTCATGTTGCATTCCAAGTCAATATTAAGATTTTCAAGGTATTTTTGAGAAGAAGAATGCAAATATTTTCCTAGGGTATTGTCCATATGATTGCTCAATTGATCTTAAAGAGGGAAGTTAACTACCATTTGGTCCAATCTGTAGTTTATCACAAAATCAATTGGCTGCATTCAAGAAGTACATTGATGAGAACTTAGCAAAGAATTTCATATACCATTTAAAATTTCTTGCAAGAGCTCCTATATTATTTGTAAAGAAAAAAGATAGATCTTTATGAATATATATAGATTATCAAGGACTCAATAAGATTACCATTAAGAATAGGTATCCTTTACTCTTGATATTTGAACTTCTTAATCAAGTAAATGAAGCTAAGATCTATATAAAAATAGATCTATAAAGAACATGTACCTTGGTTTACATTAAAAAAAAGAGATAAATAGAAGATTGCATTTTGAACAAGGTATGGGCACTTTGAATATAATATCATGCCTTTTTGACTCATGAATGTACCAATTGCTTTTTAACATCTTATAAACGATTTTTTTTGTGAATTTTTAGATGATTTTTTATCTATTATTTAGATAGTATTTTAATCTATTTTAAGAATATAAAAGAGCATGAAATTTATATTTTTTGTATATTAAAAAAACTTAAATATGCAAGATTGTATACCAACTTAAAAAAACATATTCT